AAAGTCTCTTCATATAGCGTTCATCCACAACCTATCGTGCAATGGAAATCTACTGATAATCCTTCTGATATCCCTAAATCTCAATTAGTATCCTTTAATTTATTGAATTCAACTTTACGATTTCTTGGATATTCATAGCACTTAATATAACTATATACTGTACATACGTATCTATTTGTTTAATATTTTGCTGGCTAAAAATCACCTGTGCCAGTGATGAAAAAAATAAAATTTTAGAATTCACATGTTTTTATTACAATATGCATAGATCAAAAAATTAATTGCAATTAAATTTTATCATTATCTCTTAATTTGTATTTCAGATTATATGGAAATTTTTAAATAAATTAATAAATTATACCAGGAACAACCTACCCGTGGGAGAAATGGTGTGCGGGTGCAAATTTTGTTGGTTCAGCGTGATCATAACCTATAGGTATTATAGCTAGGGATGTTATTCTGCTTCAACCGGTTAGTCTGTGCTTAAAACCCGTTGGAACACTGTTTCGGAGCATTTACATTCTCGAACTCAGTTTATTCATATGTAATAATAATTATGCTTGCGTGAGCAATTCAATAAAACCTGCTATTGCTATTACTATTTTATTAAAGCAAATACAAATTACAAATCAAGAATTTTGCTCATTTAATCGATTTCAAACTCCATGAGGAGTTTAAATATAATAGTAAAAATCATATGACCGCAAAAACTCGAGTTCCGTTGGGTTCGGGCTCGGACAAGGAGGATAACATCCCTAATTCCAACATTATATGAAAATAATAGTAATTTTCGCCGATTTTTACTATGAAATTTAGCGATCTACCACTTAATTTTTTTTAGAATAAGACCTTTTCTCACTTAACCATCTCTTCACAACGTAATTAGCTAAATTAATAGAAGGCTTTTCGACACATTTAAAGTAGAACCATGCTAAAGTAATTGTTGTCACAAATGACAACATCACCGCATCCAATATCAAGTTAGCCTTGTCGGTTTCATTTGATTCTTTATCTGCAGCTTTATATCCAACAGAAGGCACATATTCGTTCACCCACGTCATTGCAATAGGATGTAATAAATACATGCTAAATGAAATTTGTCCACAGAAACGTAAAGAATTACAAGAAAGTGCCTTTACAAAAGAGCCATTGCGAGAGAGGAGGTCAAAAAGAATTAATATTGCGTCAAGCGAACCACCAAGTTTTTTGCTTTCTAAAATCATGTCATAATAATCACGAGGCAAAAATTATTTCAGCTGGATGAGGCAATATACAAAACTTTAAGAGAACTAAGAAATAACATCCAAAGTCAAAAAAACCATCTTGCAAACTGATGTCGACTCGGTAATTTACTAATAATTAATTGAATAAAACTCGGACTTGTAAGCGTGGGTATATTATAATTATTTGGTTTATCGATCAGAATATTCTTTTCTTCTTCTAAGCTCAATGGCAACAATTCAAGACGAATTATCTCTCTATACCATATTGCACATATTGATCCAACCAAAAAGATATGAACAATGTCCGAAATACCACAATCTGTAAAATAGATGTCGCTTTCACTGTTTGCTAATAATAATTCTGTTCGTTTAGTCACAATAATAACATTAGCAAGTATTCGACATATCCAAGCACCAATTGCAGGTTTCTTGAGGTAACGGTTTGTAAGGAAAGCACCAAAACGGGCAAACTCCACATATCCGATGACAATTATTGGTATGTAGAAATAATACTATATCGATATGTGATAAATGTAGTTTATAAATTTTAATAAATTATGAAAAAAATCACTAATTAAAATCACTGATGAAAGATTAACAAAACTATTAAAAAAATAAGTACCGTTAATTCTATAGGAATAGTCCAAAAAATATTATCCATAAAATCTTTATATGCATTTCTCGTGAAGTCATTAAATGCAATAAGCAGTAAAAGAATTGCATACGGTGGGTATACACGCATAAATCGACGAAGAAAGAACTTTAACCAAAATTTTATTGGCATTTGATATTTTAGCCATATTTTTTTGGATATAATGGTTGAAAAAATTATCCGACTTTTTTTCTAATGAGGAAATTTCAATCTAATATTTTATTAATAAACGATTAGTAATAATTATAAAATAAATTTCAATTAAAATATAAATATTAAGACATTACATTGTTATCAGAATCCGTCAATGATAAGAGTGGAACATTTGATAAATTTGTTTCGAGGTCTACATCAATTTCTGAATGATCAATTTTATTTATAACAACTGAATCAGTATTTTTTTTCTCTTCTCTCTTTTCGTGATACTGTTCCCAATCCAATAGCGTCCGAAAAGTAAGTAAAAAAGCGGAAAGCACAAAAAACATGATTACTCCATAAAATCTCAAAAAGTCGAATGTGTTAAAAGCCAAACTTTGGTCATACATAGTCTGGGTGTGAGCATAAACGACACTTAAAGCAGCCATACCACGAATACCATCAAGAAATGTAGCGTAAAACAAAGGTTTATTTCAATTTTGATTTGAAGTTTGCAGAGACGTCATTTTTCTATATAGTTAATTTAAATTGAGAATATAATTTAATACAAATTTTTTCAGGTTTTCAGCTTAATGAAAACAAATGAACTCAGTTTAGTGCATATACTGTAATTTCATATCATAACATTGATTAAAAATCAAGCTTATGATTAGAATTGGACCAGTGCGATTTTCATTGAACAATCTCGTAACTAGAATGTGTACCCTGAAGGAATTTTTTTTGCTGGATTATTCATGGCTAATGCAATTGGCATCATAAAATATACGAGTGCCGCCACGTAAATCTTCTTGGCGGCACTCATATATTGTAGGGTGTACAAATTTCCAATTTCATATAAAATAGATTGTAGATCAACTTTGTGTAACGAATTTTATATGATATCA